GAGTAGCCAGGAAGTGGGATGTTTGCAGGGAAAAGTACTCCAGTCCCTCTGGGTCAGAACACGTCCACCTTGCAGAAAGCAAAGCTTTAATAAATCAAAAATATTTCGATAGTGAATGTTTCGTGTAACTATTTAAATAAATCAACCTTACTGGGAAGTCTTGATGAATGATGATGCATATGTCTATTGAAATGGAAAGATAGGGGCGCCTGGGTGGCTCAGTCGTTAAGCATCTGCCTTCGGCTCAGGTCATGATTCCAGGGTCCTGGGATTGAGCCCATCGGGCTCCCTGCTCCGCGGGAAGCCTGCTTCTCCCTCTCCCACACCCCCTGCTTGTGTTCCCTCTCGCACCGTGTCTCTGTCAAATAAATAAATAAAATCTTAAAAAAAAAAAAAGAAATGGAAAGATATTCATGCTATCCTGTCGAGCTGTACACTACCTGTCGGTATTATCACCCAATTTGTTGTCTGTATTCATATGCCTACAAGACAATTGTGAAGGTAACCTATTCTCTAGGTGGTTAGGTTTGTTTCGTTTGTGCTTGCCTGTATTTTCCATTCTGTGTATTAAGGAAATAATACGTTTAAAATAAAATTAAAAATTCAGTTTTTGAGAAAAAGGGTATATTAATATCCGGGACCTAAAAGGGGAGCATTTGAAGCCATGTGTACATATCTAAGTCAACAAAGGAATTTGGTCAGAAAATAAAGAAACAGATTTAGACCCATCAGCTGTTTGGAAATTTGAAGAACCTACTAACCCAGGCACGCTATCTAGTTCCTTTTTTCACTCATCAACCTTAAGAGTTGAAGATGGGAATGTGAGAAATTCATTTACTGAAGTATGACCATGTGATTGATATAGTTGGCGAAATTTTTTTTTTTTTAAGATTTTAATTATTTGACAAGAGACCTAGTGAGAGAGGGAACGCAAGCAGGGGGAGTGGGAGAGGGAGAAGCAGGCCTCCCGCCGAGCAGGGAGCCCGATGCGGGGCTCAATCCCAGGACCCTGGGATCATGACCTGAGCCGAAGGCAGACGCTTAACGACCCAGGCGACCCGTAGTCGGCAAACTCTTGAAATGTCATTCCACAGCCTGCCATGGTAGAAACACTAGTGTTTGGGTAAGAAAAGTGTTAAATCTAGTCAACGACCCATAGTTTAGGGGGAAATGTTTGTATTTAAAGATTAAACTTCTGGGGAGAGGGCAGCTGGGGGGCTGGGGGGTGCGGACAAAAAAAAAAGATTAAACTTCAACCATTAAAGTTTTAAAAATTTACCTCTTCCACAATCATGAAAATGGTCTCTGCCTGAGTAACTTCTTCATGATAAAGTAATTTAATGAGATTTAACAAATAATGGTACCATTTCATTTTAAACATTCAAACTATGCAATTTTGATATCTGAATTCTAATTTTAGGCAGACAGGACAAGAGGTCACTGAGATCATTTTACAAAAGCCACTGTTATCCTCCTTCCCCCCCACTTTGTGAACATTTAGGAACACATACTTTTTAGCATTTATACCATCAAAAAAGAGATTGCGCCTTTTTTCCTATCATACACCCTGATTCTTTTCTGCTTCTGGACCACCTAAAGTGTGGCTTGTAATAAAACTTACTCTATGTAAACTTTTAAGGAACGCTACAGTATTCCCTATTTATTAAGTGCATTATATATGTAAATAATACGGTAGATCAAAACATTTCAACACTATCTGGCATAGTGTTAGCTATTAATGTTTATGGTTTACCGGTATGAGCCGTAACACAGCAAGTTCATTTGATCTCTGTGTATAAGTTATTTTTCTTGCTATATAAAGAGCTGACAATACATGGTTTAAAAATTATTTATTAATGACTTAAAACTATTCATATATATATATATATTCATACAGTGGTCAAGGTACTACAAGTTGAAACAAGACAATTTGGGGGAATTATCACGTTTTTTTCTTCTCCTGGAGATGGAAGTGGGAAAGTCAGAAAATTGCAGCTGGGAACGATCCACAGGAATTCCATAGTATTAAAGCTGAACAAAAAGCTGAACCACCAACAAGCATTTCTGGGAAAGACAAACCTTTGGTTATGTTCATGCCCACACTCAAGCACTGAGTTATAATGGGAGGCAGAAAGCTTTCCTGAATGTTCCCCAAATGAATGTAGTGTAGCTGGTGAGATTTAGAAAGGTGAAACTGTATTTGGTAACCCAATTAAAATAACTACATTCTGCAGTTACTTACTGGGAAACTGGTATTCTTAGTATTTTAAAACTTGTCACAACCTGTCTAACATTGGTTTTTTCCTTCTTTTCCAAATAACTATAATCATCAGATTATAATATATATATATAATTTTTTTTTTTTTTTTTTTTAGGCAGAAAACAAGGAATCCCAGACTCCCAAGAATCTGGCTACTGTGGCTAATGCTCTTGCATTAATCCTTGAATTCCAAATTTGCCCCCTGGAGCCCAGGTGTAGTGGAGGACACCTGAGAAATAGACTAGATAAACCAACTACATTTCCCCACGTGTACATATTATGCTATTGAATCTGGGTCAGTTATTGGTATTCTAGCCCTTCCCTGAGTCTAGGGATGGGATGGTAGATATAATGTCTAAATCTCCTCCAAAGGGCTAAATTTCTAAGGGGAATCAAAGGACGGAGGCCAAGAAGGTCCTCCATGAAAATATTGGAGTGGCAGGCAGGGAAACAAGCAGACTACATCAAGTAGTATTGGTCACATCTGTGTACTAAGAACTACTATTTATGAATCACTTACTCAAGAAATATCTATTGCGGGACGCCTGGGTGGCTCAGGTCATGATCCCAGGGTCCTGGCATTGAGCTCCACATGGGGCTCTCTGCTCAGTGGGGAACCTGCGTCTCCCTCTCCCTCTGCCTGCAGCTCCCCCTGCTTGTTCTCTTTCTCTCTGTCATATAAATAAATAAAATCTTAAATATATATATATATATAAATATTGAATACCTATTCTGAGCAAAAGTTATCACTGTTACATGACACAACCCAGGTCTGGAATGTTCTTTCCTCAGTGTGACTGAGTGGTTCCATTCAATATAGATCCCTGAATTCTAGGGTTTTGTCTTCAAGTCCATTATTATTATGAACAAATTCTTTATTTCACTGTCTTAATGGGAAGGGGATTTAATATTTCCTACGTGAAAATTACATCATTGCCAACAATTATCAGTTACAAAAATTCCCTCTTATTTGTACTTCACCTCCAGTCAATATTCTTTTTGGCATTTACACCTTTAAACTAACAATATGATAATATCCTTCATGGTGGCCCTTTCTTACTCAGGCAAAACAAGTTGCTCCTGGTAATCTGGCCCTGGGCAATGCTGGCTGACCTCAGGGCATTTGCTCTGGCCACAGTCATCAGGTAACATTCTAAATCTAGCTAAATCACCTGAATGTGACAACTCTCTATGAAGTTGTTGGTGATGTTTCCACAGGCCAAGTCCAATGTCTGTTTTTAATCTTACTAACTTTCTAGAGCACCTCAATTTGTTATCCACGCTGGGGAGTCCTCCAATCCGGTAAGGCATTGCTGAAATAACATTAAAAGATAACAACAACAATAGTAAACTACCATTTATGGAGAAAGGAACTACGATAAAACTTTTATAGTTTAGGAAGCTGAGGCTCAGAGAAGTATTTCTGAGATAAACCCAGTCTCTTAACCAGTAGTTTCCTTCAGAATTATCTTAATCTAAACAGCAACAGTCAACCAGCGAGGCATTCACTCCCTTTGAAATAATCTCCTAGAGGTTCTTCCAATCATCTTTTCTGATTTAGTGGGTCCAGAAGTCAGTTTCCTGATTCGAACTTAAAATTTTACGTCCCTCCTCTTTAACGCAGTTCGCCTTCGAAGCTACCAAACGTTATTGAACATTTATAGATTTTTTCCTTTCAAATGGTTATCAAAAATGTTCAAAAATGTCAGGCCTCCAATGGTAATTTTATCAGAGTAGATAATTTTCAACTAAGTGTTCAGAGTCAATCAATCTTCAACATATAAAGTTGTAAAATACTCTGCGGTCCAGCATTTAAACACCGCAAACTCAATCAAGCATCAGTAAAATCATTGTCAATACCAGATCTCTCAACCACGTTTTCCCCTCACCCCACTGGTGTAATGCTGTGAGGAATACATTCGGAAGATAATTCAATTAGAGAAAACAGGGGTAGTCCCAAGATCAAGCAGAGAGGAAAGAGAGAGAGAAAAAAAGCGAATTTAAGACTAACATCTTCCAAAACACTGATAACCCTGGCACAGAGTTTTTAAAAACGCAGTTACTCGACACCCCAAAGTGGATCCTACAGACACCAGGAGATCCTCAGTCCCGCCGTCCCAGGATCCCCGGGACAGGAGGAGCCGGCCAGAATACCCCGGCCGCGAAAACAAGTTCGCCCCGCCGGGTCCGAGCCCAGGCGGCGGCCGCGACGTCAGCGCCCGTCGCCCCCGCCGCGGGGACCACGGCCCCACAAAGGGGCACGAACCCCCAAGTCCAAAAGGAGACGGCAGCCGCTGCCGCCGCCCTCCTCGACCGAGGCCGTCAGCCCCGC